ATATTAAAATTGGCATAAATTTGTGATATTTGTCATTCTCACGCAAAAGCATATCAAACATCTGCCGATGCGCGTTCCAACCCTTCTATTGCAAACATGGTGATTTCGATCTGGTTAACCAAAATACCTTCGTACTGGTTATATTTCATAAAACTGCCAGACGGATTTTTCTCTTCACCCTTCCAGAAATAAAAATCCAATATCTGCTCTTTGTGTGCCGCAGTTGAGATCAAAAGATAAGCTACAATCTTGCATCTCCGATTGATTGACTGAAGCGACACGTCGCGAATTGAACATCGCTTAGCATAGAGGTCGCACAAATGTGGATCCATTCTAGCTTGAAGCGACTTAGCTAACTGGACCAACAAACTAGATGCCGAGTATCGATTTTCAATCCATTCGACCTGTGATACCTGCTGAGCCGTTCCAGCGCACCTGTACTCTTCGCATTGCGTGTCTGCAGCGGCATCCTTGGATTATTCATCAGCTAGTCCTGTACATGCTAGAGTGCATTGTCATAGCAGACAAATTGCACTTTCAGTTGCTTTTGTAAGATCTTCTCACCCTCGAGCCTAGTGATTCCACTAACATCTAACACCAAATAATATAACCTCAACCTACCTAAAAGGGACGTCACATGCAGATACCGCCTCTCCATTCCATGCCTGGCAGTTTATTTTGCACAGTGTCGACCCACCCAGGGAATAAGAGAAAATATAAAATCTACGCAGGGAAAAGTAAAGTGTAAATAATCAAGGGTACATTTGAGCTGGTCCATATGCTGTGAACAGAAACACTCATTGGTGCCCAGGTACTTCTGAGTAGCCGCTGGCTACACTAGACTTGTAGAATCCACGCTACCTGAAAAATACGGCAAAGGTGACGAATCGGATCACACCAATGCCCCTCTGCGTTGACTGGCAAGTACATCAAAGATTTCCGCTACTGGGTAATTAACATCCTGTTCACACGCGTTACCCCACATGTGCCTTACAGCGGCCACGTAAGTGAGAGCAGACGAATTGAAGGTTCGGTGCTCACTTGGGAGAGAGCAGCCGGATCGAAATGACGTGTAGAATGCATAGCTACAGACACACGCCTGACCATGCTCAGCTACGGACGAGCTTGCAGCCGCAAGTACAAAAGTATGCCACGCTCGCGCGATAGGATTCAGGACCATATGCTACGTAGGAGAACCTGTTGATATGGAATTTCTTCCAACAAAGAGCTTCATCAGTGGTAGGTTCGTTTGAGCTTTTCTCTTCTCTTCAATTGCTAACTGATATGCTCTTCTCATTCTATGTTTAAGTTCGGTTTGATACTTTTCGCTTACTTTGTGATCTATTGTGAGGACAGACTCTCTAACGTTCGAGCTCCGCATTGCACACGCTATGCACGTGCCTCGGTAAATTTTAAAAAAAACAGACCGCAAAGAGGTCATGATGACGTAGCCGGTTTACAAGCGTGCGCTGACTTCGGGTTGTCTGACTTGGTGCCGGGGTGTGGCGTCCAACCTTTGGCTGGTGGGAGCCCGGGAATGGGGAAGGCCTGGAACCACGTCCTGTGGTGGAGAGTGTCAGGGGTGCTTGGAAAGGCAGGCTTGGGCCAGCTCGAATTGTTTCCATGGACAGAGGAGGAGCTTGGTGTTTCAGAGATCAATGACACCGCCGGGATGTGTGTGGAACATGCAGAAGCTGGACTTGTGTTCAAATAAAGGGAAATCTTTCTTTCCTTCTTCCTTCTCCTTCCTTCCTTCCTTTCTTCCTTCCTTCCTTCTTTCCTTCCTTTTCCTTCTTCCTTCCTTTTTCCCTTCCTTCTTCCTACCCTCTCTCCTTCTCTCCTTCCTTCTTTTCCTTCCTTCCTCTTCTTCTGTCTCTTCCTTCTCTTCCTTCCTTCTTTCTTCTTCCTTCCTTCCTCCATCCACCTTCCCTCCTCCTTCCTTCCTTACTTCCTTCCTTCTTCTTCTCCTCCTCCTCCTCCTTCTTTCTTTCCCTCCTTTCTTCCTCTTCTTCCTTCCTTCTCCTTCCTTCCTCTCCTTCTTCCTTCTCTTTCTCCTCCTTCCTTTTCCATTCCACCTTCTCCTCCTTCCTTTCTTCCTTCTTCTTTTCTTCCTTCTTCTTCCTTCTTCTTTTTCTCCTTCTTCCTTCCTTCCTGCTTCCTTCCTTCCGCTCCATCCACGTTTCCTCCTCTTCCTGCTTCTTCGCTTCCTTCCTTCCTTCTTCACTCCTTCTCCTTCCTCCTTCTTCCCTCTTCCCTCCCTTTCTAGGCCCCACCTTGCAACCCCTCTCCTACCCTCAGACCCCAGTGGTCGTACCATGTCACGATCTAATTGCTTAACTCCCTTCTCCCAGCAGGCTCCTTCCGTTGCCTCTCTCCTGGTGGGGGGTGGGAACATTTCTCCAGTCTCCCCACATCCTTGCTGGCCCCCCCGTTCCATCCACTCTCTACAACTCAGTGGGAACAAACTTCAGAGCACGCATCCGGCCATGCCACACGCCTGCATAGACCCCCGCCAGCTTCCCTTGCTCTCAGGATGACACGCACTCTCTTTCCAAGAAGGTCCCACACAGTGGTCCTTACACCTGTCTCCCCCCACACATTCCCGCCACGTGCTAGTCCCCTTCTCCTTCTAGTCACCCACATCCAGCCACACCGTCCCCCCTTCTGCTCCTGGCACCTTCCAAACTTATTTCCAACTCAGCATAGCTAGAATTGCTCAATCTCCTGCCGGGAGCATCTTCTGCTAGACGTGCCCGGCGCTGGCCTCTTCTCAGCCTTCCTAGCTTCCCCGCAGGGCTCCCTGCTCGGAGAGGTCTCGCCGACCTCAGCTTCCTGCTAGACTCTTCAGCCCGTGCCTAGCTAGGAGCTTCCAAACACCTGCCTCATATCAAAATCACCGTGTTTCCCCCCAAATAAGACAGGGTCTCCTCTTTATTTTTCCTTAAGAAGACACCCCATGGCTTATTTTCAGGGGGTGTGTTATTTTTTTAAGTACGGTACAATAATCTATATTTATTCAAATATAGTTAAGTCGTCTTCTTCTGGAACATCATCATCACTCTCCAAACCCCGAATTCCATCCTGAATGTCTCGAGACTCTATTTCCTTTAGAACCATTGGCCCCGATCTCTTATGTCGAGCGATAGAGCTCTCATTAAATGAGCAGCTCTTATCCACGTAACCTGCTCGGAGTGCATTGGCAACAACACTGTCAGTGGTTTTATCCCATGAATTATTCACCCAAATCACCACCTCTTGCAGGCCAGGCTTCCGGTCACCTCTGGGATAGTCGCTGCCATGATGGGGCAGATGAGAAGGGCTGCTCGTCTTCTTTCCCGCTCCAAGACCAAAATGCACGGGTTGTGCAGATGCGCTGCGCAGCCACGCCCGTCACTAGGGCTGATTTTCGGGGTGGGGCTTCTACTGTGCACATGCTTAGACATCCTGCCAGGACTTATTTTATGGGTAGGTCTTCTTTTCGGGGAAACACGGTACATACAAGTGGTTTCCCTCCAATGGATTGATTCAGGGACCCAGCTGTGTGCACCTCTGGCTCCACCTTAAATTTGGCCTTGGAGTCACGTGACCACGCAAGGAATGTGGGAAGGATGAAGGTACATCCTCTTGTGAAGGGTCTTCACCAGAAACACACAGGCCAGTCCACTCACACCGCATTGGGAGGGCCCAGTCCCCACACCCCAGTGGGTGCAAGGGAGGCTGAAACTGCATCTACATAGCTTTCTCTCGGAAGCAACACGACACTGTAGAATTGGAACTGTGGAGCTCTGGCAGGTAGAGAACCATCTCTGCCAATGTCTAGGGGAGATACGTGTGCATGTCTTTGTATGTGCATGCCTATGCAGTTGTGTGCAGGTATGTGCATATGTGTATGTGGTGTGTGTGTGTGTGTTTGTGTGTACGTAGGGAGAGGTGTGCAAAACAATCCTATTTGCAATTTGAGCTGTCTACTCTGAAAGTCACATGGAAAACTGTTATCACGGTGGCAAAGGAATAAATAGTGAAGCCAGTCAGGGGCTTTATAACTCTTCGAGTCATGGATAAGGCAGTTTGACTGGCTTCCATCCAAGGGGGAATGGAATGATATGGGCAGATTCCAAGAGGACTGTCAGAAAGAGCTTCCACCAGTCTTTACGTTGCCCCCAAGTGGAAAGATTGTGGCTCCATTTATGGGTGTAGAGAAGGCATGGGAAGTCTAGGTTTCGGGCAGCGAGAGAATATAATTTTTTTTTTCTGTAGATGTCAGTTCAAAGAGCCTTTGTGATATCCAAACAGGCACATCAAATAGACAATGGGGTGTGGAACTGAGGATGGCCTTGGCTTGGAGAAGTGCACAGGGGAGTCATCCCAGGCTGATGGAAGGTGTCTGGGGCCACCAAAAGGAAATGAGAAAAGTCACAAAAAAATCAAAACGCAATGAGTTGGGCAGAGAAAGAGGAGGCAGGGAACCAGACCAAGCATCCAAAAAGGATGCAAAGAATTCAGGAGGATTCTAAGAGTAAAACATAAACCCCCAAAGTGAATACTGTCTGTAATGAAAAAAAAAAAATATATATATATATAGCAAAAGGACAAAAAATAATAAAAAGATAGGTATGATGGGATTCCCATCAAAGTTTCTTCCTTCCACCTGGAAATATTTTCACAGGTTGCAATTACTTATGTCCATTCTCCCGGACTTTCATGTAAGGTCAACTATGCAATGTATATGAATGAAGTTGGGTGTTTTTTTTTTTTTTTAACTTAGAAATATTGCAAAAAAAAACCCACCCTCTATGAGTGTTTATTATGATAGTGAGCAATCATAAAACACCGGTTAGTTACGCTAGCACGCCGGGCTAAAACTGCCACTCAAAGTCGAGACCCCTCGAGCCTGGGATCCCTTCATGATGGGATGGATGGCGTGCGGGTGGCCAGGCGGGAAATCGCGGCGTCCTTTGGCTCCTGCGCTTACGGAGTGTCTGTTTGCCGATGTGTTTCAGGGATTCTGAAGTGCAAGAAGGACAAAGCGTACGAAGGCGGTCAGCTCTGCGCCGCGTGCGCCGCTCCCAGGAAGCTGCACAAACAGGAGCTCCACACGCTGAGGGACGTCGCCTGTCTGAAGCCCTCCATAGAGTCTCCCCTGAGACGCAACGGCAGCCGAGATCTGGAGGAGGGGCAGGGGCAGGAGGAGGGCGGCGACAGCCAGGTGGCCCTGGAGGGCTTCCAGCTGCACCCGTGGAACATCTCCTTGAACATGACCGACGAGCACGGGAACACAGTGAACTTGCTCTGCGGCATCCGGAAGCCCATCGGTGTGCACAGGATTCAACTGAACCAAACGGATCCTCCGGAGATCGACGTAAACGCAACGGTCGCCTTGGACTTCGAGTGCCCCATGACGCGGGAAAACTACGAAAAGCTGTGGAAACTGATAGCGTACTACAGCGAGGTCCCCGTGAAGCTCCGGCGGGAAGCCCTGCTGAGCAGAGAGCCCGGAGCGAGCTACCAGTACAGGCAGGGCGCGGATGACGACGCCCTGTACTACACGGGGGTCAGAGCCCAAATTCTTGCGGAGCCGGAGTGGGTCATGCAGCCCTCCATAGAAATCCAGCTGAACCGCCGCCAGAGCACGGCCAGAAAGGTGCTGCTGTCCTACTACGCACAGCACTCTCAGACCCTGTCCGCCAAAGACATGGCGGCGCAGGCTCGGAGCAGAAGCTGGGTGATGATCGAGCCGGGCGGGGCCGTGCAAAGGGCTCAGACGGTGCTGGAAGGCATGTCGTGCCAGCTGAGCTGCAACGTGAAGGCTTCCGAGAGCCCATCCATCTTCTGGGTGCTTCCCGACGGCTCCGTCCTGAAAGCACCCACGGACGGCCAGGATGGCAGGTTCTCCGTCCTCAGCAGCGGCTGGCTGAGGGTAAGGTCTACGCAGCAGTCTGACTCTGGTTTGTATCGGTGCATTGCTCAGGTGAGAGATGAAACGGACCAGATCACCTACAGGGTGCTGGTGCAGCCTCCCTCCTCCCTGCCCCCCGAGAGGGACACGGTGACCATCGCCAAGAACCCGGGGGAGCCGGTGATGCTGCCTTGCCGCGCCCTGGCAGTACCGGAGGCACACCTCAGCTGGATTCTTCCTGGGAAAAGGATCGTTCACGAGCTGGCCAACACCTCCCACGCGTACATGTTGGCCGATGGAACTCTTTCCATCCCGAGGGTCCAAGTCGGCGACGGCGGCTACTACAGGTGCGTGGCCATCAACCAGCAAGGGGCAGACCAATTCTCCGTGGAGGTCACCGTCAGTCGGAAAGGGTCCGCAAGGTCCTCCAAGAAAGGCAGGCGCCCGGATGCCAAAGCTCTTCCCAGAGGGAGGGAGGACGTCGTGGAGGATGAAGGGGCCTCAGGGCTAGGGGACGAGGATGGCTCTTCCAGGAGGACCCTACAAGAGAAGGACCAAGAGGCGTCCCTCAAAGCAAAGGAGGAGGCCAGCTCGGGGGACAAGAAATCCAAGAAGGGGAGAAGAAAGCTGAAAGCCTGGAAGCATCCAGAGAAAGAACCGGAGAGCAATGTTGCAGAGGGGCGCAGGGCGTTCGAGTCCAGGCGCAGGATAAACGTGGCGAACAAGCAGATCAATCCTGAGCGCTGGGCTGATATTCTAGCCAGGGTCCGTGGGAAAAATCTCCCCAAGGGGACACAAGTGCCCCAGGTCGTTAAAACCACTACTCCTCCACCCGTGAGTCTAGAAGCAACACCTCCTTCCCCGGTGGTCCCTCCTCCTCCCTCATCCCCCGTGGAGACAGCAATGGATGCCAAGGAATCCTCCGCAGATATGTCTCTATTTGGGGAGGAAGAGCAGGCGCTGGGGGCCATGTCCTCACCCAGCATGGCACCAGAATATGACAGCCATGGAGCCGTTCCTGCCGGCCCCCAAGTGACAGGCTCGCCAGTGGAAGAAGAAGTCATCGATGGTGCATTTTCTGAGAAGGTGGAGGAGATGTCTCCCACGGAAGCTGACACGAAGTGGGTCGAGGCCCCGACACTGATGTCTGACCCTTACGAGTCCTCTTCTGCTCTCCACGCCCTGGACGCCGTCTCCGGAGAGCCCATCCACGAAGAGACAGCAACAGGGAGCTGGACCACAGGAGACGCCGGGTCCACGCTGGAGCCCACGTTGAATGAGTACGAGCCCCCGCTGCGTGCTGTCTCTTTGGCCGAGTCTGAGGCGATGCAATACTTCGACCCAGAACTAGAGACGCATCCGCAGCCGGGTGAGGACAAGACGAGAGAACCTGCCTCTGCACGCTTTGCTACGACCCCCGCCGCGTGGGTTACCGACCTCGGCTCGCTGGAGACGTTTGAAGATTCCGCTGTAGGGGAGGCGGAGGTCCCGGGCCAGTTTCATCTCCAAGGACTCACAGACAACATCCGGCCTGTGAAAAGCAGTGGAAGCACTCAAGGCACCCCACTGATTGAAAAGGGTGTAGAGGAGACGTCCCACACACCACAGGAGGGAGATATGCTAGGGAGAGACCCCACGAACTCCAGGAGTTCTGAGGGTGGGTGGCAAGACATCAGATCCATCATTCCACTGGATTCCTTAGTGGGTGAGAAGAGCAATCTCCCGTCTCCCAATCGGCCCGGGGAAACCATGCCTGGCACCATATTGGACAGAGATGCCACCACAGCAGCCATGGTGACACCAAGACAAGATGCCACCACACCACCCGCAATGCCCACTCACCCTTCTCCAAGAAGATCCAACGGGAGGAGGAGATCACGCCCCCAGAAAGCCCGCCACCGGCATAAGCAAACCCCACCGACGACTTTTGCCCCGGCAGAGACGTTTTCTGCTCGGCCAACTCAAGGATCCGAAATTAAGATTCCCGACCAAGCGGGGAGTTCCCTGGTCCCTATGGCTCGGGCTGGTGACCCAGCTAGTATCTCAAAACGGTTGGAAGTGGAGAAGAACCCAGAGCCTGTCTCCAAGGGAACCCCAAGAAGGAAACACAGGAAGAGACCAAACAAACATCACCCTACCACTTCGACGGTGAGCTGGAGAGCGTCCACGTCCAAGCCTAGCCCTTCTCCGGAAAATAAATACACAAATGTCGTTGCTCCCACTTCAGAGACTACACCTTTGCCCAGAACTATTCCTCTGAGAAATGAGGATTTGTATGAAGAATCTAGAGTGGGAGATTCCATGACAACCACCACAAAAGTACCTTCATCTCACCATAACGTCCGAGAGACGCCCCCGGTCACGTCTAAACCTGTATCAGATGGAGAAGAAATTAAGGATGATGATGTCACAGATGTCAGAGACTATAAAACTGACACTTTGGTCCCCGGTGAGGCGATCATTAGTGTCATACCAACTTCTGGCTCCTTGGTCTCCACTGTGGAAGAAGTCTACACTGAGGAAGACTCCGGTCCTACAGGGTTTCCAGGAACTCTGAGCTGGAATTCCCCAAAGACAGCCCAGACTGGGCGGCTGCAGACAGACACCCCTGTTACAGGTTCTAGAGAAAACCTTCCAGATCCTCCCCTCTTGAAGGAGCTAGACGATGGGGATTTGGTTTCCGTGTCTCCACCTTCTGCTACAACAACCTCAACTCCATCTCGACAACAGGAAGTTGCTGCTTCGACTGCTCTAGCAAGCATGGAAGTAGAGTTGCCTTCAAGTCAGGCAGAAACAACCACCCACGGGCGGGAACGTCCCGGAACCACTGTGGCTGCCATCCACACCGGAACCGGATCCCAGAATCACATCCCGACTGCTGCTCCCAGGGAGAAGCCAACCTCCCTGTTCCCACCCGCGACCCTTGTGACTTGGGCACAAACCGCCGCTCAGCCGGCACTTACTAGCTCAAGAACATCTCCAGCTTCTACAGATGCCAAGGAAAATGCTGTCTTGAATTACGCGGGGAATCCAGAGACCAAAGCACCCCCAGTGAGCAAGGAAGGGACCCAGCCCACAGTGAGGCCAAATGAGTCATCTACCACTTCTTCCAAGCAGGACGCATCTGACTTGTCTCCAAAGCAAGAGCTGGGAGAGGAAGCATCTGACAGTACGAGCAACAACAACAGTCTCCCACGCAGCCCAGAGAGTCCCCACCAAGTTGGGGGAGCCCATGCCTCCTACCAACCAGCCGGAGTCCCTGCCAAACCTATCCCACCACGGGGAACCCTTCGGCCACCCGATACGGCCACACAAAGCTCCTTTAGGTATTTCGTAACGTTACAGCCTTCCCGGCATTTGACCAGCAAACCGCAAATAACCACGTCTCCGTCCAGGGCTTTGCCAGGGAGCAAGCTCTTTTCCACTCCCAAATTATCGACGGCAACAATTCCTGTTCCCTTGCACGTGTCCAAGCCCAACATGTTTACCAAGTGGACTGACCAACTCAACGGCTACTCCAAGGTGTTTGGGAATAATAACCTTCCCGAGCCCAGACTCCCAGCTGGTAGGCTTCCAAATTCAAGAGCTCCTCATTACTCCAGCGGAAGGCTTCCTTTCTTTATCAACAGGACACTCTCTTTCCCACAGCTGGGGGTCGCCGTGAAGCCCCCGACATCCACCCCTCCTGCCCCGGTGACGCGGGAGAGGATAGTCAACCTGGGTCCCTACAACAGGATACATTCCCAGAGCACCTTCCACCTGGACTTTGGTCCTCCCGCCCCTCCACAGCTGCAGCCTCCCCGGACCGTGGCGTCACCCTCCACTCACGCACAGAACACCCCACTGGTTTTCCCCACCCGAAGCTCCGTCCCCTTCGTGACGTCTTCTGTTCAGTCCTCTGGAAGCTTCCATCATAGTAGCTCGAAGCTCTTTGCAGGAGGACCCCCTGCGTCCAAATTCTGGACCCCCGGGGAAAAGCCCCAGATCATCACCAAGTCCCCACAGACTGTGTCTGTCACCGCAGAGACAGATGCCACGTTCCCGTGTGAGGCGACGGGGAACCCCAAGCCCTTCGTTACGTGGACCAAGGTTTCCACAGGTAGGTGTGCACGCATCTGCATTTGACCCAGAGTCTATGTGGGAGGAGGTGACCGGAGTCTGACTCCAGGCAGAACTGGAGACTCAAAAAAGAATGGATCGGTAGAGCGAGGCTGTATTCTCTTTGCTTAGGTTTCTCTCTTAAATTTTGAGGGCTTCTATAGATAAATTTGGGGAGGAGACACCTGAGAACTTAGATCCAAGCATCTTCCTCTATATGCTTCCAGGGACAGGAAGTGAGGAGTTAGAATGGATGTGAGGTTTTGATGAAGCCATGGAAGCATCTAATAGGTCCTGTGGACAGGGAATAATAACTCAGGCTTTGGGATATTCCATAACGGGACCCTCTCAAATTTTCCTCAGTTGCATCCTGCACGAAAGTCTTCAGCCACCTACGTTGGCGCAGAATAGATAGGAGGGGAAGTCTGTAGATCCCCTCTGCCCTTCTTCTGGCTTGCAAAGGTAAACCCAGCTTGGCCAGAGATCAGCTTCTAATCTTCTAAGCACCAGTCAGGTGCTTCCTTGACTTGAATCTAGAGAGATGGGTATGTGAGTCTGTTCAGATAGACTCATATACCCATGAGTGCTGTGCTGCTGCCCACAGCAAAGTTTCATAGACCAGGCAGCTCAAACCACCGGCGTTTAATATCTCACAGTCCCGGAGGCTGGAAGTCTCTGAGATCCAGGTGTCTCAGGGCTGCTTCCTCCTGAGTCCTCTCTCCTGGGCGTGTAGACGCTGTCTCCTCCCTGTGTCCTCACGGGGTCGTTCCTCTGTGCCTGTCTGTGTCCTCGTCTCCTCTGCTTATAAGGACAGCAGTCCTGTTGGACCAGAGCCCACCCTAGTGGCCTCAGTTTACCTTGATTATCAATTTGAAAATGCTACCTCCAAAAGCAGTCATGTTCTCAGTTCCTGGGGGGGGGGGTGAGGGCTTCAACAGAGAAATTTTGGAAGGACACAGAGGTGTGTACTTGGAAACTTGGGGTGCCCAAAGAGCATTCTTCTTCACAAATGGACCGTCCACTTGGTCTGAATGGCAAAACAATTTTTAGGGACTACTAATAAACGAGAATAAAAGCTGAGAGTCACATCATCCCTGAAAAACTATCCCTTTCCTCTCTCTCAACACAATTAGGTCCTTCATCCCTGGCTTCTGATCAGAGGGCTTGTATGTGTGTTTGTGTGTGTGTGTGTGTGTGTGTGTGTTGTTTCTATTTGGACAATACAAGGAAGATTTTGCGGCTAGCACTTAGCAAACCTGTGCTTTGCTTGCTCAGGTTTGTCTCTCTAATTTCAGAAGAGTTCTAGAGTCTCCCAGAAGCTCTGAGCCTTGGGAAATTATTTACTCCTCTGTTCAGCTCTGCATTCAAACTCATATACTGTCATAAGCGATTTCATAATCATTTTTGCTTGAAGTTGCAGATGGAGGAAAACATGTTTTTTTTTGTTGTTGTTGTTCCAAAAGGGCGATGCCTTTGGAGGAACCCATTCCTCTACTGGGAGACCCCTTTCGTGTTCATTCTTAGGGCCTTCCATGCCTGGGCCGTGTCAGAGCATCCTTGGATCATGCCTTCTCTCCCGATGTTCATGCACGTTTTCCATCTGCGTCTCCCGGAATCAGCTCCGAGTGCTGGCTGCTCTTCTGTTAGCCGGCTCTGGGTTTTAGGAAGGTCTGTCTCAATGCGTGGCAAGATGAGATTGGTTCACATCAAAGCAGAGCATTGTATTCTAAGGCGGTGGAGCTGTAGGATGTGATTTTATCGTGTCTTTGCTGCCAGATAAGCCAAATCCGTTCATTTGTTCAGGCGCCAGAGGGAAATACCATGTAACTGTCCCCGGCGTGATGGGCAGGAGGTTACAATGGTCCTTTTCTCTTCCATCCCAAAGCAAGTGGAATAGACGAGCACTCTGTATCTCTGCATCATAAGATGCCTCGCTGGGGAGGTGAGTCCTCCGTGAGTGAGGACTCTCATTTGGGAGGGCTCAACCCAAAGCTGGACGGCTTCTTACCTGCACTGCCTGGCAGGCAGGGAGGTTATACCAGCGCCAAGGCAGACCTGTTCCCCGGGGCATGGTGCGTTGGGCAGACTCACTTGGCCTCCAAACCTGGCTTCAGAGGAGACGCCTGTGGTCTCGGCAGCTCCCTGTAAACATGCCAGGCTAGTGGCCTTGTTTCCATGAGTGTCGGTACTGGAATAACCCGTCCACCATGAAATCCTCATCGTGGGAAGAGCAGGAGATTTCAGAGGTGGATGAACAACGGATACCTTGGCAGAGAGGGTGAGGATGAGGACAATGGAGAGCTTCCAGGGCTTGAAGCCTTCACCCAAAGGCAGCACTCCCATCTTAGAGAAAATTATTAGCAAAAGAGTCAGGACCGAATGCATAGCCCACGGGTGAAACCTGGACCCAGGAAGGGGCCAGAAACAAGGAAGAAGAAGGGGGCTCTCTTGGGCTTCCCAGTGTTAGATCGTAAGTTTTATTATATTCCAGTGTGGTGAGGCCGGCAGATCACCAGGCAGTGGCTGTAGAGGAGATAGTTTGCTGTTCACAGCTCCCAGGAGGAGGGTCCAAGCCATGCCATGGGGAAGTCTTGCTGGGAGGCACCAGAGCTGTTCAGGAGGCAGAGAGATAGGGACAAACTTGAGCAAGTGCCATTTTTTTTTTTTTTGGTGCGCTTTCTGTGGGAAGAAACCGGTGATGCTTAGAATGAGGTCGTTTGAGAGATTTCAGCAGGCTCTAGAGGGTGCAGGGATTTCCCTAGCTGTCTGGGGTCATTAAGGCGGGTGGATAATGACCCAGAGTGGGACAGCCCCACAGTGGAGGTGGCTGGCTGGCGTGTGATCTCTGGATTCCTAGGTTTGCATATAAAAAGCAAGCTCACAGCAGGGGTCTTTTGCTATCTCTAGGAATCTGCTAGCCCTGGGAGGGGTGGACCCTCCGGGGTCAGCAAAATCCCCAGATAGCAGAGCATCAGAAATGCATGGCTGATTTTCCATTCTTTGCACACTCCATTTAGGAGAATGGGCTCCAGTTCCACGCAGATTGCTGCAAAAGGCATTAATCCATCCTTTTTCGTGGCTGAGCAGTACTCCGTGGTATACGTATACCACATTTTGTGCATCCACTCATGAGTCAGTGGGCACGTGGGTTGATTCCACATCTTTGCAGTTGTGGATTGTGCTGCGATCAACAGGTGTCTCTTTTGATAAAAAAAAAAAAAAGCCGACCGGTTTCCCTTAACATTTTGAGATTTTTAAAAAAAGAGAGAGAGAGAGAGAGAGAAGAAACACATGGTTGATACAGACCTTGATGAGGGCAGGCAGGAGGTCAGACAGGGTGTGAGATATGGAGAGCGTAGAGTGGACGGAAATAAGAATGTAGCTCACTCACGTCTACCCTCTGGCTAGAGTGGTGAGCAGCTCAGACATCATAGGGAAGCCTGAGTCTATGCCCAACTCTTTGGGACTGGGCTGAGAATGACGCCCTCCATCTCTCTGTCTTATGGACTCGGGGCGTCTCTGGGCAGGGTGGGCAACAGCTATAGGCCTAGGACGTCTAAGCAGGCAGCTTGGACTGCCTGGGAGTTCAGGAGACCAGTGTCAACATAAATGATGGAGGGGCTGTGCCTCCAGGACCTGAGAATGAACAGTCAGGCTACTTTGGGCCTCCCGGGAACTCATGGCCACTTCCAGAATTCTCTATGAAGCCATGTTCGCTATTCTTGGCTGGAAGAAGGTCTGTGCCCTGTTTCTGGGACTAGCCTAAAAATGAGCAAAAAGGGAAACAAAACATTCTTCCTTTCTCTATTTTCTCTCTCTCTCTATATATATATATATAAAAAACAAAACCTTTTTTTCCCCCGTAGTGAGAAAACTTAAAATCGACTCTCTTAACAATTATCAAGTACACAATATATTACTTACTAACTATAGTCACAGTGAACACAATATATCCCTTGAATTCATTCCTTGCATCTAGCTGAACCTTGCGGGCTTTGATCAACATCTCCCCTTTCCCCGCAAAACCCCCCGGGTTCTCCGGGAATCACATTCTGCTCTCTGCTTCTGCGAGTTCAACTTTCTTACACCCCACATAGAAGCAGGATCCTGCGGCGTTTGTCTGTCCGTGCCCGGCTTGTTTCACTCAACATAATGTCTCCTAGGTTCATCCGCCTTCTCAGAAACGGCAGAATTTTCTTACGTTTTAAGATGCGGTGGTATTCCGCTATGTAGATAAACCACGTTTTCCTTATGAGTTCACCCGGGGACGGACACCTAAGTGGATTCCACGCCTTGGCTACTGCCAATAACTCTGCAACGAACATCGGCATTTCAGACGTCTCTCTAACACACTGATCGCGATCTCTTTGGCTGTATATACTCGGAAGCAGGATTGCTCATTCATTCATAGGGTAGTTCTATTTTCAATTTTTTTTTTTTTTTGAGGATCCCGCCGACTGTTTTCCATAGGGGCTGGACTGATCTACTTTCTCCAACTTTGTGTTTTCCACACTGTTCATCCTAACGAGGGTGATGTGGTATATATCTCAGGGTGGTTTTGCATTTCCTCGATGATTGTCAGCAAAAGACCTTCTCTCTTGCACATTTGCTTTTGCTGTTTGGGCCGTAAGTAGGAAAATTAGGTTAACAAATGAGCGATGCTGTCTTGGACATTGCGGGGAAGGATATAGTTTATGTCAAAGCTAATGGTCCCTGTCGTTCTACTCCAGGGGCCCTGATGACTCCCAACACCAGGATACAGCGGTTCGAGGTCCTCAAGAACGGCACCTTGGTCATCCAGAAGGTGCAGGTGCAGGACCGCGGCCAGTACCTGTGCACGGCCAGCAACCTGCACGGGCTGGACCGCATGGCGGTCCTGCTGTCGGTCACGGTGCAGCAGCCTCAGATCCTGGCTTCCCACTACCAGGACGTCACCGTCTACCTGGGAGACACCATCGCCATGGAGTGCCTGGCCAAGGGGACCCCTGCTCCCCAAATCTCCTGGATCTTCCCGGACAGGAGGGTGTGGCAGACCGTGTCCCCCGTGGAGGCCAGGGTCACGCTGCACGAAAACCGCACCCTGTCCATCAAGGACGCGTCGTTTTCAGACAGAGGCGTGTACAAGTGCGTGGCCAGCAACGCGGCGGGCGCGGACAGCCTGGCCATCCGCCTGCACGTGGCGGCGCTGCCCCCGGTCATCCAGCAGGAAAAGGCGGAGAACATCTCGCTGCCGCCCGGGCTCAGCGTCCACATCCACTGCACGGCCAAGGCGGCGCCGCTGCCCAGCGTGCGCTGGGTGCTCTGGGACGGGACGCACGTGCGCCCCTCGCAGTTCCTGCGCGGGAACCTGTTCGTCTTCCCCAACGGCACGCTCTACATCCGCAACCTGGCGCCCAAGGACAGCGGGCGCTACGAGTGCGTGGCCGCCAACCTGGTGGGCTCCGCGCGCAGGACGGTGCAGCTGACGGTGCAGCGCGCCGCCGCCCACGCGCGCATCACCGCCGCCTCCCCGCGCAGCAGCGACGTGCGCTACGGCGGCACCCTGAGGCTGCACTGCAGCGCCTCGGGCGACCCCTGGCCGCGCGTCCAGTGGAGGCTGCCGTCCAAACGCATGGTGGACGCGTTCTTCAGGTAAACCCCTCGGGCACACCCCGGCTTCCCCTTGCATGTTGGCGACACTCTTGGTGGCCCAAAGAGTCCTGTGCATGTTCATCCTGAGTCCTGGTCAGGATGAACGTGCAGAGACAATGCTCCCCGTAGGGTGCTTTTACACACAGTGAAATCTTGTCCTTACTCATTCTTTTATTTATTTAAGAGACAGGGTCTCTCTCTCTCTCTCTCTCTGTCACCTGGGCTGGAGTGCAGTGGTGCCATCCTAGCTCACTGCAGCCTCCAACTCCTGGGCACAGTGCTGACGAATCCAGTTTTATTAGATAGCTTTGGAAGTCTGGGCGGAACCACAATGACATGATCAAGTGATCCTGGGCTCAAGTGATCCTCCTGCTTCAGCCTCCCGAGTAGCTGGGACTACAGGCATGCGCCACCGTGCCCGGCTAATATTTTTGTTTTTTTTTTTGTAGAGACCCCGTCCCCACAATGCTCGCCACAACCCTAGGATGTGTATCTCCCCCTCCCCAAAACCCTGGAGATTCTCTAAAGAAATTGAAATTATTCAAATTCTTTTTATTGTATTATTATTTTTTTTTTCCAGTTTCAGAATTTTACAGGGGAATACCCAATTTGGCTATGTAATTTGATTTTGAATCAGCCCAAGTGCTCAGTTTCTGTTTTAAATTTTGGATGTATCTGGGCGGCGGTGCCCAGAAAGAGCTCGTACAATCCATCCGGAATGCCGGGTACCCATTCACCCTGGAACAGAGTCTCCCCGCTCAGCGAATGTGCCGCTGTGCGCACGACTGTTTTCCGTTGACTTTGGCTTGGCTGAGCCGGCGCGGAATGGATAACAGCACAGGAATGTAGCTCCAGGAGGGTTTTAAGTCATTCTGTTAATATCCCCATGGAAACTCTAGATCAATCGTAAATCGTCATCTCCGGGGCTTCATCCTTACTAAATGGATTCCGACTAATTACATCCTTAGCGTGCTGTCATTAAACAGCCCGTGTGAGTTTTATCAACGAGCCAAGCCGGCCCCTGGCTTTGCTACACGCCAGGAAAACTTTAAAAATACAGATTATCGGCACTTCCCTTCTTAATGCCAAATCCTTTGGAGAGGCGTGTTTTCAGATGTGCCCGGTTTATTCTGATTATAACTAGGGCTGGATATCAGTGTGTAGACACTGAGGAATGTTTGCAGATATACGCTACTGTACACATTTTTGGGTTTGAACTCCAAGGGACATTAAAATGTCCTAGCCAGCCCCACACCTCTCATATTCCTCGCCAAGTTTCCCTGACTTGGTTTTCACTCCTGGCCCACGAGACAGTTTATGTGGTCACCGTTAGTATAATAATTGCTTTTATTTATGGTGATCGAATTGCATCCATGTATAGGCAGATGTTTTCTTTCTAAAAATCTATGATACTGTCCTAGACGTGCCATTAGAATAATGCAGTATTCAAGAAATACGAAGGGGTTAAAAACTCAATGTACACCCTCTCCCGCTGTAATGTAAGTGAAATTGAAAATTCAATGTGGACACTTTAAAAACGAGAACCTCTCTGATCTTTTCACTGGGTTATTCAGAAGTTCTGAGTGGCTCAATATTTATTAAAATGTCACGTGCATAATTAATGAATAACCCCATAGACATGCTAAATAAACCCTAAATCATCAACTCTGGGGCTTTATTCTTACTGAATTCCAATTATATGCCTGGTATAGTATAATTAAACAACCCACATAAGTTGGTTTTTGTTTTTTTGTTTTTTGTTTTTTTAATCTATCAAGCCTTAAATGTTATCTCTTTTAAACTGAAAACCTTTCATGAATATTAAGTCAGAGGTGTCTGGACTTCATAGAGAGGAATGGCACCCCAACCTTGAGGTTTTAGTTGTTGAGTGCCATTCAGTTTTAATTAGAAATCCCAGAGGAGAAGGCTTTACGCCAATATTGCACAGTGCTGACAAATCCAGTTTTATTAGATAGCTTTGGAAGTCTGGGCGGAACCACAATGACATGATCAATGCCAAAGTTACTTTGTTGCCTTTTTTTTTTTTTTTGAGATACAGAGTCTCGCTTGGTTGCCCAGGCTAGAGTGAGTGCCTGGGTCAGCCTAGCTCACAGCAACTCAACTCCTGGGCTCAAGCAATCCTTCCCTGCCTCAGCCCGCATAGCTGGGACTACAGGCATTCGCCACCATGCCGGTTAATTTTTTTTTATATAATCTTAGTTGGCCCAATTAATTTTTCTATTTATAGTAGAGACGGGGTCTCGCTCTTGCTCAGGCTGGTTTCGAATCCTGACCCTCGAGCAATCCGCCCGCCTCGGCCTCCCAGAGAGCTAGGATTACAGGCGTGAGCCACCGCGCCCGGCCTTACTTTGTTGCCTCTTGTTTGATACTGGTCTACTACGTCTTTTAAAAAAAAAAAAATTCCCAAGAGTAGAAGTAGTGTCTCAAGCATTTCCTTCCAGAAAGCGCTTAACCTTTGTATAAGGTTAACTAGGATTCATTTCCTCCAGGACGGTAGCATTCGTCTGCTTTTGTGGTTACAACACCCTCTGCAATGACCAGGGGGCAAATACTACACACACACACACACACACACACACACAAGTGCTCACTAACACGGCTGAAGTCTTTGCTTACCGCTCACATCTTTGAACCCACGGCCAGCCCAGCTGGTCAGACCCTACCAGGGAGTTCTCATTAGCAGTAGATCACTTCCCAGTTGCCTTCTCAGTCTAGTCCCGGCTGCAAACGCCCCTGGGCATTTTGCAGTAGCACAGGGACAGTTCCCAAAAACACATGTTCCCGCTCCATTCCAGCCACCTACATACAGCCACCGTGGGGCATGCTGCAAACTGACACCTCCTTCCTTTCCTTTCCTCTCCCCTGCAGCTTTGATTCCAGAGTCAAAGCGTTCGCCAACGGCACCCTGGTGGTGACTTCCGTGACCGACAAAGACGCCGGGGACTACCTGTGCGTGGCGCGCAACAAGGTGGGCGATGACTACGTGACGCTCCAGGTGAACGTGGTGATGAAACCCGCCAAGATCGAGCACAAAGAGGACAACGACCACAGGGTCTTCTACGGGGGCGACCTCAAGGTGGACTGCGTGGCCACGGGGCTGCCCAACCCCGAGATCTCCTGGGGCCTCCCGGACGGCAGCCTGGTCAACTCCTTCATGCAGGCGGACGACAGCGGCGGGCGCGCCAAGCGCTACGTGGTCTTCAACAACGGCACACTCTACTTCAACGAGGTGGGCATGCGCGAGGAAGGGGACTACACCTGCTTCGCCGAGAATCAGGTGGGCAAGGACGAGATGCAGGTCCGGGTCAAGGTGGTGGCGGAGCCCGCAGCCATCCGGAACAAGACGTACCTGGTGCTCCAGGTGCCCTACGGAGGCGTGGTCACCGTGCCTTGCGCCGCCAAAGGAGAGCCGGTGCCTAAGGTGACGTGGCTGTCCCCCACGAACAGGCTGATCCCCGCGTCCTCGGAGAAGTACCAGGTCTACCAGGACGGGACTCTCCTCATCCAGAAAGCGCAGCGCTCCGACAGCGGAAACTACACCTGCCTGGTGAGGAACAGCGCGGGGGAGGACAGGAAGACCGTGTGGGTCCACGTCCTGGTGCAGCCGCCCTCAATCAACGGCCGCTCGGACCCCATCACCACCGTGCGCGAGGTCGCCGCGGGGGGCAGTCGCAAGCTCGTGGACTGCCGGGCGCAGGGCGTCCCCGCGCCGAGGGTCCTGTGGGCTTTCCCAGAAGGCGTCGTGCTGCCGGCGCCTTACTCCGGCAACCGCGTCAGCGTGCACCGCAACGGCACGCTGGACATCCGGGAGCTGAGGAAGAGCGACTCCGGGCAGCTGGTGTGCATCGCGCGCAACGAGGGCGGCGAGGCGCGCCTGGCGGTGCAGCTCACCGTCCTGGAGCCCGTGCGCAAGCCCGTGTTCCACGACCCCACCAGCGAGAAGATCACCGCCACCGCGGGCCACACCATCAGCCTCAACTGCTCGGCCGCGGGGACCCCGGCGCCCACCCTTGCGTGGGTCCTCCCCAACGGCACGGAGCTGCAGAGCGGCCGGCGGCTGCAGCGGTTCTTCCACAAGGGCGACGGCATGCTGCACATCAGCGGCCTGTCCCCCGCGGACGCCGGGGCGTACCGCTGCGTGGCCAGGAACGCCGCGGGCCACTCGGAGAGGCTGGTGTCGCTGAAGGTGGGGCTGAAGCGCGGCGAGGCGGGCAGCCAGCACCGCAATCTGGTGAGCATCATCAACGGAGAGACCCTGCGGCTCCACTGCGCCGCCCCGGGTGACGGGCGGCGGCCGGCACGTTTCTCCTGGACGCTTCCCAACGGCGTGGTCTTGGAGGGTCCCCACGCGCTGGGGCGCTTCTGGCTCTCGGACAACGGCACGCTCACGGTGCGCGAGGCCTCGGTGTTCGACCGGGGCACCTACTCGTGCCGGGTGGAGACGGAGCAGGGCCCCTTGGTCACCAGCGTGTCGGTCATCGTCATCGCCTACCCGCCGCGCATCACCAGCGAGCCCGCGCCGGTCATCTACGCGCGGCCCGGGCACACCGTCAAGATCCACTGCATGGCCATGGGCATCCCCAAAGCGGAGATCACCTGGGAGCTGCCGGACAAGTCCCACCTGACGGCGGGGGCGCAGGCGCGTCTCTACGGCAACCGGTTCCTGCACCCGCAGGGAGCGCTGAGCATCCAGCACGCCTCGCAGAGGGACGCGGGCTTCTACAAGTGCACGGCCAAAAACGTCTTGGGGAGTGACTCCAAAACGACCTACGTCCACGTCTTCTGAGCGGCCTAAATCGGGGCAATGCAGGTGGCCGAGCTTTTGACTGCTGCGGTTTGCAAGCCACGCCCCAAAGCTGGGGGAGGGGGGAATTTGTCTTGGGGCCTCCCCCGTTGCGTTTCAGACGGAGGTTACCCTTAACCGGGGCTCCTTGGGCAAAGGGATTTAAGCAGACCCAGGCAGGAGGGCTCCGCCTCCCTGGGATCTTTGCTTTGTGGCTTCAAGGTTTACCTGGCTGCACCTGTAACTTCTACCCCGCTGCCTCCCTTGGGGTCCGTAGGGTGCGGTGCAAAGCCAAACATTCGCTGAAAAGAAGCCGTAGTAGATGTTAGCAACAAAGGTGCCTTGCTATCCCAAGAGAGATGCACCCTCCAGTTAATCTGCTGCAGTTTTAACGCGATAGAATCTTCCGGAAGGAGAACTCTTCTTCACCTTCCTGTTCCTTCCTCTGTCACTTCAGAACTCCAGCTTGCCCAAGTAGCGGTTTAGAACCAGAAGGACTGATGTCTTTTTTTTTTTTTTAATCCGCACTTTCATACGTTACAGCTACCCATTTTATAAGAACAAAGAAAGAAAAAAAAAAAACCTTTGCTCCCTGGAACTCACTTTTTATATGGTGTTTTATATATATATATATATATTTTTTTTTTCTTTCTAATCAGACGATGAGATTCGAAAGAGAAACTCTTTCTGTCTCATTAAAAAGAATAAATTATTGGTCTTTACAAGACTTGGATACATTACAGCAGACATGGAAATGCAGTTTAAAAATAAATAAAATTTCTTTCCAAACCTCCTTCGAATTCAGTAACCACTATTCCATTACCTTCCCCCTGGGAGGCTAGGATATTAGGGTGCCTTGAATACAAAGTTTATCTTAAATGCCATTACAAGGGGGGAGGAGGGGAAGGAGAAAGCTACACCACCAACCCACAGAACTGAATCCTGAGCCCTTCCAGAAAAGCCCAAAAACTTCTCCGAAGTACCTGAGTTGTCTGTCCATCTGGTCTGAGGCAGCTGCCCCTTCCCCGGCCGTGGGTCAGTCTGTGCCCACGGACAACAGGAGAGCTATTATTTCCATGACTGCTTTACTGTATTTATAAGGTCCACATCCTGTACATTTGATAATAAAATAATATTTTCCAAAAAGTTAGGGCCACGATGACAATGACATTTTCAGGGGCAAAGAGAGCTCCAAATGAATTGGGGTTGAAATCGGAGTAGTTTAAAAAAAAAAAAAAAAAACTCTACTTTTATTCACCCTATTTCAATTATTCTATTCTCTGTAAAAGTCTTCAGCAGGCAAGGAAACGAAGTCAAAGGCGGTGGCGGGTCATTCCGGCAGCGTGTTTGAGAGACAGGAAGGCAGACTCTGACCCTATAGGCAGCCAGACTGTTTTAGGATTGAGAAGCAACGTGGATGCAGAAAAACCTACGTCATTTTTTTTTCTTTTCTACTTTTTTTTTCTTTCTTTCTTTGCAAAAAGGCATCCAGCAGTTGACAGACTGGCATTCCTCAAATATATGCAAAAACCGTCATTCTTTTGCTACCTCCTGAGAGGAAGGAAAAGGGAAACTTCAGAAAATCATTTGGGAAGACCTTGACTGTCAGCATTTCAAGGAATGCAGTGCTGCCAGCTGTTAAAGAATGTCAACACATACAAGCAAGGAAGGAGTGCTTGGTGTTTCGTGACCCTGAGTCTCTCTCATTCATTAATCCAGCGGCTCCCACGCTTTTTGGCACCAGGGACTGTTTTCATGGAAGACAGTTTTTCCACAGACTGGGGGGGGGGCGGTCCTAACCCTAACCCTAACCCTAGCATTCCATTTATTGTGCACTTTATTTCTATTTTTATTACATTGTAATATATAATGAAACAATTACACAACCCACCATGCGTTGGGGGCCCCTGCTTGAATCCACGCATGTGCTTAAGGCTCTGTGCACAGCTGTTTCTGTGTGCCGGCTACACAGAGGGGCCCTGGGGAAACAGGTGGCGTGTGATGTCCTAATGACCAACATACTCACCCTTCAGCTAGGTCTCTACACCGTGGAGTGAGTGACATTTGGAACTGGATCGTTCTCTGCAGAGGGACATCCCATGCACTTAGTAGGGCGTCCCTGCGTTCCACCTGCCAGATGCCAGCAGCCCCCACCCCTGGGTGGTGACAACCAAAAATGTCTCTGGTCATTACCACATGCCCCTCCGGGGGTACAAAATTGCCCTTAACTGAGAGCCACTGACATCGGTAGATGGATGACTGACAGGTAGATATTAACAGATAGAGCGTCATGTTAAGACAAGATTTCTCAACCTCAGCACTATCGGGATTTGGGGGTAGAGGACTCTCTCTGTTGTGGGGGAGCTGTGTTGTGCACTGTAGGGTGTCAGGCAGGGTCCCTGGGCCCCACCCAGAAGATGATGCCAGCAGCATCCACCACTTAATCATCACAACCAAAAACGTCTCCTCCTGACATAGCCAAGTGTCCCCTGGCGGCAAAGTTGTCCCTGGTTGAGAACCACGGTTAGATAGATAGATAGATTGATAGATGTATAGATAGAAGATGGACAGATAGGTGGATGATGGATAGATAGATAGATAGATAGATAGATAGATAGATAGATAGATAGATAGACAGGATAATACATAGATAGATTAGAGTCCCAAGGGATTCAAAGACCAGGTCAATGGTAGTGTGAGAGACATTTTTTTGTGTGTCTGATGCAGCATTTTGGCTGAGACAATAATAGAAGGATAGCTGGGCAGGATGAAATGGGGCAGACAGGGAACGAATCTCTTATCAGCAAAAGCATTAGGAAGACAGATGCCCAAGCAAGGAGAACTGGGGACTACTGACAGATAAAAGGGAATAGGTGTATTTGGATGATGGTGGAAATTGTGGGGATTTTTTTATTGTTGTTGATCATGGTAGGATATTGTAGTTGGTTCAATAACACCCTGCAAAAGGTTGTGTCTACCTAGAACCTCAGAATGTGGCCTTGTTTGGAAATAAGGTCTCCGCAGATGCAATTAGTGAAGGGTCTTGTGGTGAGACCATCTAGGATTTAGGGAGGGCCCTAAGTCCAATGACAGGTGGCAGAGAAGTAGACGCAGACGCGGAGGAGAAGCCACGTGGAGGCAGACGGAGGAGGCAGAGGCGGGAGTGAGGCTGCGGCCACAAGCCCAGGGACGCCTGGAGTCCCCAAGAGCCGGGATAGGCGGGAAGGAGCCTCCCCTGGAGCCCGTGGAGGGAGCGCGGCCCCGAGACCCCCGAGTCTCACACTCCTGGGCCCCAGGACTGGGAGAAGATAGATGCCTGTCATTTTAAGCCCCCAGATTGGAGTCATTGGTTATACCAGCCCCGGGGAAGCAAACACAAATACTTAAAAATTTCTGGTAGGAACAAGAGATGGTGAGAGGTGCTGAGCACTTTATGATTCAGTAAGAGGCATTTAAACCCGTTTGCCCAACACAGGGAGATGTGTGACTAGTGAGGTCATCGTTCATCGGAATCACATATGTCTGTTACCATTATTTGCAAGTAATAGACTAACTCGAAGATAGCTGGTTGTTATTGCCTTCCCTCCGTGGGTAACTCCTAACATCTGGTGTATGTGCTTGTAAACACATGTGCCTGAGGAAAGTCTTTAGCTGGCAGTCCATTGTCACTCTCTGCTTGCTCCCAGGCGGCCCCCTGAAAAACAAAACCCAAACCACGCCGCTGGCTGTTCTCTTCGAGGTCTGGCTTGCAATGGGCACAAGGCAAGGTGAGGGCGCCCCTGCCCTGCTGCTAGATTCCATCTGCAAGACGCCAAATGCTACCAGAACTAATTCAGCGCCTTGATCCTGGATGGCTCTGGTGTTCAATAATAGGTTCCAGTTGAAACCGCAGAGGGGTAGCGTAGAGTTCCCAGATGGCCCCATAAGACCTGACCTCTTTCTGGTAGAAAAAAAAAAAACCCTTAAAGATCAATTTGTCTCCACCCTGAGAAGCTGCTCAGCGTCTTTCCTAACAGTCTTCGATTCTTAACCTTGTCACAACCCAAGAACATTCTTAAGACACAATAAACCAGTGGTTCTAGTTGGCTTCATCTTGTACTTACCTTGGTGGATTAAAAATATGCTCATGTCTATAGGTGTTTCTTGCCCAAGGCTGATTGCAGGATGACCACGGAACTGGTGGCTTAAAACTACCATCTTCTGGTGTAGAGTTTAAGTCACGCGACTGCAGCCAAAACTCCTCAGATTGGACTCCCAAATTTACAGAACAAAGTTCACAATGTTGAGTTACTAAAGAAGGGCTTCCATTACCATCCAAGTCTTTGTTTTTTTCCAATTTTTAGATTTCAAAATAGTAAGGGGGTGCAAATGTTTTAGGTTACAGAGATCACTTTTGTAATGCTTGTATTCTGGCTATATAGGTGTGCCCGTCACCCAGATAGTGTTCCTCATACCCATTAGATAGTTTTTTTTTCCTCCTCTCCTCCACCCTCTGCCCTGGTTTATTTCCACTGAGTTTTTTCTTTCCTCTGTGCACCTGTGTGCTCATCAGTTAGTTCCAATTTAATAGTGAGTACGTGTGGTGTTTGTTTTTCCATTCTTGAGAAACTAAAAAGGTTCTGCACAGCTAAGGAAACAATCAACAGAGCAAACAGACAACCTACAGAAGGGGAGAAAATACCCACAAGCTATACGTCCAACAAAGGGCTGATAACCAGACTCTACAAAGAACTCAAGCAAATCAACAAGAAAAGACCAAACAACCCTATTCAAATGTGGGCAAAAGACATGAACAGAAGCTTCTCAAAGGAGGAAGGACAAATGGCCAATAAACATATAAAAAATGCTCAATGTCACTTAATCATCGGGGAAACGCAGATTAAAACCACAATAAAATTTCACCTTACCACCATTAGAATGGCTTTTATTAAAATGTCCAAAAACAACAGATGCTGGCACGGATGCAAAAAGAGAAAGGAACGCTCATGTATACACTGTTGGTGGGACTGCAAATTAGTACAACCTCTATGGGAAACAGTGTGGAGATACCTTCCAAGTCTTTCAATGCATTCTTTTCTCCACATTTTAATGCAAAAAGAATTACTGAGGTCACCCACACAGGTGTGAGTCTGTATCGAAGACTCTGCTCACCACAATTGCCGTGTTTTGGCTGTCTCTTATGAACTCAGAGGTGATGTGCGTGTTGGACAGTAAGCTGGACTTTCTTTTATGAACTTAGAGGTGAAGTGGGTGGTGGATGGACTTCTACAATAGTCTTGTGTCTGAATCCTTTCTTCATGATAGCCGGTGGGAGAAGCCACAAATACTGAGGATCTATCTGTCTCTCTTCCTTTGTGACGATCAAAGGAGGTGACTTGAAATATTCACGTCACAAAAGTGCCACCGAGATCTGGTAGATGTGTGGAGCCCAAGAGACAATGTGAGCAAACGTCGCTCCATCTAAGAGCCTACTTTTTCACATGGGTATTTTAGTTTTTAAAACTTTTTCGACCCCTTTCTCCTCCTACCCTGTATATAGTCTTGGCACCTCCCTCCTGTCTTCTGTCCCTCAGACCTGCCCCTTGCCCCACCGCTATCTCTGACTGAC